TGTTCCGGGGCTGAAACAGAGAGGCTTGATGGTCGATACAGGAGCCACGTCTCACATTGTAACGAACATTAAAAGTTTCAAAAGGTTTGACGATGCTTTCACACCGGAAAGTCACTTCATGGAGCTGGCGGACGGGACGAGAGCGAGTGGTGTCGCACTAAAGAGAGGAGCGGCAGAAGTCTACCTGCAGGACAGCGAGGGACACCGTGTAAAGGCAACGCTGGAAGGAGCACTTTACATCCCCTCATATCCACAGGACATCTTCTCAGTCCAGGCAGCGACGCCAGCGGAGCAGCAGTCACATTCAAGAAAGGATGCAACCAACTTGTTCACAAGAATGGTACAAGGTTCGACATCAATGAATATGGACGCTTGTACTACCTGAGTACAGTTGAGGTAAACAATGACTATGATGAATGCAATGGATGTCATGATATTGAAACTTGGCACAGAATTCTTGGACACTGTAATTATGAAGATTTGTCTAAACTAGAAAATGTTACTATGGGTATGAAGATCAAAGGGAAAGCTAAGCAAGATTGTAAAGTGTGTGTTAAAGGAAAGTTTATACAAACCAGAAGTAGAGAGCCTGACGAGAGAGCAAAAGCGGCGTTAGAGCTAGTGCACACTGACTTAGCGGGACCGATTGACCCAGAGGCAAAAGACGGGTTCAGATACTCTATAGCTTTTACTGACGACTATTCAGGTACAACTTTTGTTTATTTCTTGAAAGCTAAAAGTGACACTGTAGAAGCGATTGAGAAATTTCTAGCAGATGTCGCCCCCTATGGGAAAGTGAAAAGAATCAGATCAGACAACGGCACAGAGTTCACTTCCAGAGAGTTTCAATCATTACTTAGAAAGAACGCAATAAGACATGAAACCTCTGCACCGTACTCACCCCATCAGAATGGGACGGCCGAGAGAAATTGGAGAACACTATTTGAGATGGCACGTTGTATGTTGCTTGAGAGTAATTTACCTAAAAGACTATGGACTTATGCTGTTATGACTGCTGCAGTGATTCGCAACAGGTGTTACAACAGACGCACAAGGCAACAAAAGCAATACACGAACATTAAACTCTCTTTCTGCAGCAGGTAACATCTGTGTGCTCCTATGGTCCCACATGGTCCCACACCTGAACTCAACTCCAACTGATGACATCACAGGTGTCTAAATGATGGGAGTGTCCCAAATATTAAAGCTGATCTCCTTGTTTTTAAACTTAGTTTACTAAGTACTGTTGTCTTTTTGCAGTTTATAAACCATTGTGAAATATACAGTAACTTTACATTTTGGAATTGAATTATTATTTTAAAACTCAAAAATCTTAACCTTTTTTAACACATAGTTTGTTGGACAGTCTAACCTAAGAATTCTAATGTGTTAAAAATAGTTTGAAATATGAAAAACAATATCATATTTTAAACTTTAACTTAACTCAGACTGCCAGGCATTTTCAGATTTGAGAAGTGCGTTCTGCCAGCAATTTCAGGTGATTTGACCCAACTTTGAAGTGCCACAGAATATTCATTTTTTAGACAATGTAAACACCAAGGGCACCAAATTAAAGATTAACCTCTTTGCTTTACTCTGAAAAAAAACAGTTTGTTTCTACCTCTTACCGTTCTTGAGTTATTCGCCATAGAACAAAGCATACTTTCACCCACAACACCTGGTCTGAGCAAGAAAACAGAGAAAACGAGCTGTATGTAAACAGGAACATATCAAGCAGAAAAGAGACTTTTAGATGCATTTTTGCTGCTTTAAAGTTTAGTGACAACTCAAAACATCTTCACACTTGTTCCATTACAAAAATTATAAAAACATGACTCTGAAATAATACTTTTGATGGCAAATTGTTGGCAATTTATTCACAGATAGAAAATTTAACTTTCTTCTATACCATCAACCAAAACGTCAAACAACAACAACACAAAGATCAATAAAACTATAGATGTATAAAATAGAATGAAGCATGTGAATTTGAGTGTGTGTGTGTGAATGTCAGTGTGCGAGTGAGTGTCTGTGTGAGTGAGTGTCTGTGTGTGTGAATGTCAGTGTGCGAGTGAGTGTCTGTGTGTGTGAATGTCAGTGTGCGAGTGAGTGTCTGTGTGCGTGTGTGTGTGTGAGTGAGTGTTCGTGAGTGTGTGTATGAGTGAGTTTATCTGCTTTTTCAGTCCTCCCAGTAGTTCAGCTTTGAGTTGTAGAGGTTGAAACACTGTGTGCAACGGAACACGACACGCTGTGTACCATTTGTAGTTCTCCCTCCGTGAAGAAGAGCTCCAGAAAGTCTGGATCAGATGAATCCAGCTCCAGAAAGTCAGCTGGATCAGATGAATCCAGCTCCAGAAAGTCTGGATCAGATGAATCCAGCTCCAGAAAGTCAGCTGGATCAGATGAATCCAGCTCCAGAAAGTCAGCTGGATCAGATGAATCCAGCTTCGTAGCCTCTGTCCGCAGCCTCTGAGGTCCAGGAGCTCCTGTGAAGGGCAACTGACTCGTCTCCCACTGATCCTCCTGTCAGCCATCTTCCCCAGAGCTTCTGGGTGACGAATGTGCTGGAAATTTGATCCACACAATAACTATATTATACAGTGAATTTGTTACAATAAATCAATACATAAAATACAATGAAGGCCTTCCTCCCACATTATTGACTGACTGCTTTTGGACGAAACAAGTATACAATATTATTATCATTATATTGCCATGGGATGTACAAGAATAGAAATAGTAGTCCTTTTACCTTTTTTGTGCACAGTAACTGCCTCTCGATGCACCACCTGTAAATAATATAAATTTGTAAATCACTATACCAGGAGAATATATACAAAAATATGTACAATGGTATGAGGAGGCATTATCTTAACCTCCATGCCCTGTCAACCCCAATGGGGGAGGGCTCTTTTATCAGAATCTGTGAATGAACACATTTCATTTAGTCAGAGCTATGACACTACAACAAGATGTTCAAGTATGAAATAACTAAACATAAAAATAATAAATACAACAATGATAAAACGCATAACTGGCATTTACTAAAGAAACAGTAGGATTTGAGCGCTGTGTTACTTTGCAGATCAGAGCAAGTTTCCGCGCCTTTCCCTCCTCTCAAGTCAGCATATTCTAGGCAATTTAGCAAGTTCTTACCTTCGACTCTTTGTGGAGCTTCTGGAGAGGATGCTCTGCTGGTTTGAGACTGCAACCACTCATCCGATAAATCATGATCAGGTTCTCTGAACGAATCCGAGGCATCAGTAACAACAGCAGCTGATACGCTGCGAGAGGCGGAAGGTGTGTCTCTGCTCTTGCTCCGCGCAAATGTAGCTGCAGAGACGGACCTCCACCGGGGTCTCCACTCTCTCCCCTCTCGACCTCACTCACTGATCCGCGAGTCAATCTCTGAAGCAGTGTCAACTGCTTATAACTATTCTTTTTCGCCATCACTCCTGCTATACTATCGCTAAACTAGATCGCTGATCTGTCTCAATGCTACGCCATCATCGCTCGCTCTGCTACAGCAGCACGCTCTCCAACACTCCCACACTCCTCCTCCTTCTCTCCACTGACTTATGACCTCTCCTGTGGCACAATACTGCATCCTACTGGTGTTGATTTATCATTACAGGTACATTTGCACTATATATCAGTATTGTGGGTCATTCACAAGGTGCGCCAGACATTACTGTAGCCTCCCGTGTAATAACACGAAAAACTCGTCAAACTCGTCATGGGCAGTGAGCGTTACTATTCAACATGACGAGTTTTGTCGTGATTGGGCAGTGAATGAGTTAAAAACTAAAAAAAAGGTGTCTCCCTTTCAGCTGAGCAGTGCCAGCCGTTATTATTATAGATTCATGCACTGGCAATTCAAAATACAGATAATATACAAAATATACTTAACAAAATCCACGTATACGTGAGAAAACAACTTAATTTCTGTCTCCAACTCTTTTCAATGTGGAAATGATACATCTATATCTAAAAACTGTGCAGACTGTGTACTTACAAGAGAGGGTGATTCCAAGTAAATAAAGCAGGCAGCGACAGAGGTACAGATTCAACGTCATATCAACGTCTGGGAAGACATTGCTTTACGTCCAGATGCACACCTTACGTCGTTTAGACGTGGAAAACAGGTCCTCGACCGAGCGACTCACGTGTCAGGCTGTAACCTCGCATAAGTGTGCGTCGTTTGTTTAGGGTGTTATCTATTATTTTTTTCCCAGTAGTCAGTAAACATGTCTGGCGGTGGTGTAGCGGTTGAGTAGAGAGACTTCAGTCGCAACGACGCGGGTTCAAATACCCGTCGGAAATTTTTTGACTTTTCACTTTTTAGCGAACAATTTTTCTGTTTGGTTAAAAACGAATAAACACTCAACATAAGATTATGTAGTGGCTAATAATAAAACTTGCGAACCCATGCATTTGCATAAAATCAAGTGCTCACCCCTTATTTGCAAACTTGAGATTGTTAGCACAACAAATGCATACATTCACAAGTTTTATTATTAGCCACTACGTAATCCTATGTTGAGTGTTTATTAGTCTTTAACCAAACAGAAAAAATAGTTCGTTAAAAATCAAAACAAATATGTAAAGATAATAATAAACCCACGTGGGCTCGAACTCACGTAACCAAGACTGCACACATTTGCTTAACCACTACACTACCGTCAGGTACTCTGAGACTGCTTCACAGCCTATATATTGTATTGCTAGATCAAGACGTACTGCGTCGGACGGCCGATGACCTGTTTTCGGCGTATAGAGGAGGTCGGGATTGAACGTCATATCCACGTATATGGGAGGTCATTGTTTTACGTCCAGATGCGCACCTTGCACAGACGTCGTTTGGACGTAAATAAAAGGTCACGACCGACCGACGCGATATTGACGTGATCTGGAGGTTGAGTGGACGTCGGATGTTTAGTGGGAACCCTGCTGCAAATGTTTATTTGTGTATTTCCTTATATTGTGCATGCGCCGGTTACCTCTGCACCCGGGTAAGCCCACTTGATGTTCACCCCAGCGTTGAATTCGACCATGGCCGTGCAGTTCAGGGTGAGCGTCTCCCCCACCATCAGCTCCATGGGATCCTCAGGAAACAGCTTGACATCGTAAATCCGGCTTCCTGTCCCGAGTGCAACAGGGAGGACAAAATAGGGGAGAGGGGGACAGAGAAAAAGGTCACGATGACAGCGTCAGCATTTTTTTTTCTTCCTCTAAAAACTACTGAAAATGGGTCGTCTCTTTGGTCCCTGGGAAACCACTCCTGTCCATCACCTTAGTTCCTGCTCCGTGTGGCTGTACATCCGAGGAGGTAATAGAAACATGGATTTTGTGAGAACAGTTAAAAAGGATTGTTACCGCTGCGTGTCTCTTTTCTTAAAAAACATGGTCCTCGACAGCGTCTTGGTGGGAGGCTAAGATTGTGTGATAGTCTAAATAGTCCAATAGCTTCTTTCTCAATCCTCTTTCTTCTCTGAGTGATGCGGCTATTACTTTTGGCCCAGCAGCAGTGAGTATAAGTTTCCCTCCAAAGTGAGAGGTAAAAGATCTCATGCACAGGCGACAAAAGAGCACAAGCAAGGTCCTTTAGAGTTCAGCAGCAATTTGACTGCGCCTAAAGGCATTTCAAACATTTATACAGCGCCTAATTACACCCTGATATCCCATTTATTCTTTCAACTATATTGGGATAATAACTCAGGCAGTCCCATTAAAAGAGTATTATATCTAAGAACTTACGCAATCCTTACAGCTATTACACTGGCTGTGATTGCTTCATTTTTAAAAATATAAATTGTAATTTTTAACTATAATAATTCAATCTGGAAAGACATGAACAGACAAAACATGGGTATTAGAATTGTATATTGGTTGGCAAGCTATGTGACACCACATAAATTACACATATGACTCTGAGGACAATATTTTCAAGATTACATATATAATTGCTGTATAGAAATGTGGTTAGGATTTGGTGCTTCGACCTTGGCAGAGCACTGCACGGATGTAGAAGGGAGATGGGGAGGAGGAGGGTTGCGATATGAATGAAGTTGCTGCTTGGATGAAGCTTGTTGCGGGCAGAGCCTGATTGCTGCCAGTTGAGAATTTGCGAGAGGCACTTTAGCTGATTGTGAGGATTAAAAATATTGGCCCAAAGACCTCTACTCACACTTTTTACCTAATTTTGGTCTGTGTCTGAGATCTTTTAGAAGTGAGTAACAATTGATTTGATGAATTTATATTTTACAGAAGCAATAAAATCCTACAGAATAATCACAAAATATAAACTTACCACGTATGCACTATAAATCTATTTGTATAAAACTATCCTTTTCATACTTAGGATTACTCTTGGTGAATGGGAGGTCAAGAAGCAAGCCATGGATTATTATGGAAGGGATTGGAAGGACAAGACAGGACCACGGCCACTCTTGGAACTCTTTAAAGCCCAAGGACATGGCTTGAAGCCAGCTGGAGCATGTAAAGAAATCCCACTGTGCCTCCCTCTGTGCAACCAGTAAATTTTCTATATAATATATAGTTGTGTTCAAGTTATTGTGGACATGCACCTTTCCTTGCATGGTTTAATCACAGAAAAAAACTGGATGACCCAAAAGGAAAGGCTCATGCTGGGAGCAGATGACCCTTGTATCCTTGGATACTTCAAGTTGTTTTTTGTTCTCTTCACCTTTATATAGACTGTGTTTAATCGGTGATGCGTGGGTGGTCTGTGACCTGCAAACTCTTCTTCACAGAAATTGTCGTTTGGCTGCCTGAGACCTTGGTTGACTTCAAGAAACATTTCAAAACAAACACACTGAACTCATATCAAAAGAGACATATTATTCCAAATCAACTTTTTCTTTTGCTTTTAACCATGTTAATCATGTTCCCTATAATATACAGACCCTGTTTTAGAACCATCCATAATATCAGGAATATCATATGGTACCACTATTAGCTGTTTGATGCACATACATTAGTTTTTTGTTATTACAAGGTTGTGGTTGCAGCTTTTTTATATATATAAAACAAAAAAACAACAACCTAGGTTTTATTCAACTGAATATATTCTAAAACATGATTTGATAAAGTAAATAAAGTCTTTATAAAGTTTCCTTTTTAATTGAGAAAAATAATACATCATATTGCTTCTTTTAACAACATTGATCCTTTTTAGTATTGAGACAAATAAAAAGAAGAACTCACCAGCAGTATGAAAGAGGTAGTTGGCCGAGTGGTAATCTTTGCCATTCAGCGTAGCTACACACGTGACTCCGAGCACCATCGGGTTGTCCACCGCATGTCTGGGAACAATCCAGCCAACTTTGTTGTTCCACTTTATGTCAGATCTATCCAGTGGGGAGGGATACTACAGAGACACATAGCAATGATTGTTCTGTCAGTCTTCTCAGTTCAGAAACAGCCATAAGACCAAAGTGTTAGGGGCACAGACCGCATGCAGAGTCACATTGAGATCAGGGACCGAGACCAGACATGGCACAGTGACGTGAGTGGACGAGTGGGTGATGAATAAGGTTTCCAGGTTGGAATTTTGACCAGCCCTCAGGAGGAACGGCTGCTCCAGGTCTGAACAGAAAGTACAACATTAGAAGGGCAAGGCAAGGAAAGTTTATTTGTATAGCATAATTCACACACAAAGCAACTCAAAGTGCTGAAAAAAACAAGATAGAAAAAAAATCACACAAGGCATTCAAATTATGGATGCACGATACCACTATGCAAGTACGAGTACCTTAATTCGAGTACTTGCCGATACCGGATACCGATACAAGTACTGCATTGTATTAGTATTCATTAAACTAATACAACTCAGATCAACAATAATAACATAACATTTTAGCAATTGTTTTAACAGTCAACAATAAGAGTAACTGTCATAATCCACTGCTATGTTGTGGAGTTGGTTGTTTTTGTCGCAGCACATTAAAAAGTTGTATGTACAGCTAAACAGAAGTGTTTTTAACCTGAATTTAAACATTGTCAGAGAATCAGAATCAGAATCAGTTTTATAGCCATGTAAGAAGAGGCCTGTCTCACTTTTTCAGGAAGATTGTCCCAGATTATAATTTTGACTGTGGGTACCAGCAGCAGGCTAATGCCTTTGCTCCTCAGAGTCCGAGTGTGTTCATATGGCACTAACATGTCACTTATGTGCACTTTGGTGCGATATCAGTCCAGTGTCTGAAATGTATCCAAAACTCTGCCACTCGACTAGACACTGACACTAGACTGGACTAAGGAAACTATCTTATTTTCAACCTGTTTAGGGGATCTCCTCTGGCTGAACTGGGTTCAGGCCCAGATTGATTTCAAAATCCTTATGCTTATGTACAAAGCCCAACACAGTCTGGCGCCATCATACATTTCAGATCTACATGTCTCAAGTATATCTCAGACCCTCTGACCTCAATCTTCTTGCTGCTCCCTATGTAAGGTTGAAGGAGAAAGTAACCTTCTTCCATCACGCTCCTTGTAAACAAACAAAGTACTTTGTCCAATGATGTTCAGTGTGTTCCGACCCTGAGCTCATCCAAGAGCAAGCTAAAGACCCACTTGTTCAGGCTTTCTTACTTTGAGGCTTTCAAGATGCATCTCCTTACAGTTCCTCAAAACTTTGTGAAACCCATTGAATTTCAGTTCCCTGTCTTTAATTGTTTTAATGAATGCTTGGACCAGACTAACTCCCTGAACACCCAGATGTCGAATTATAAGGATTGCTTCATAAGCTTCAATACAAAATGAAAAGATGACGATCACAATACATTATACAAGTCTCAGAGCAGATCATTTACAACTACTCTTGCGCGTCAGCCTTTAACAGACCTGAAGTCAGTCTTTCTGTGGTGTTTGGCACATGCTATCTGCGGCTGAAAAGATACCATATGTTGTAGCCTCCCGACAATCACCTGACAATCTTTCCAGGGCTTTGGGAAGCAAAGCAGCTATTGTACATTCTCTTCACATTGGAGCTGTTATCTTTTGGACCTGATATTCCCACAGACCATTGCAAAATTGGTTATCTTCAGCCTCCCAGTCAATATAACTGATGTTTGTATGACAGCCAATGATGAATGTTCATATACAAGCAGCTCATTTCTTTAGCTACAGAATGTGTTATTCTCTCCATTGATAAGCGTATTGTAATATTCCTTGGTGCAAAACTCTCCCAGCGTAAAACTATTATAAGTCCAACCATCCTTTCCATAAATTACAACTTGTATTACTCTAGCTGAAGGTGGTCTGAATACACACAGGTGACAAACATAATGCACAATCTATTTCAATTTTTGTACATCACAATACACCACTAAAGCTGAAATATTGCTATGTGCAGTGAATTGGAAATGGCAGGCCCTGGGCGCATCAGGGGCATAAGATGGTCTGTGGGAGTTCCAACATCCACATGTGTCCCCTCAAGCCGAACCACACGCTGGCTCTGATTTAGCAACACCATTTGCCCCGCCTCATATCAAAGCCCTGCTGAGATGTGTGCAAACTATTCTGGCACCTTGTGAGAAGGATAAACAGCCAATCAATTTCAATAAACCGTTCAGCCGAATAACAGCTAATGGCAATCACAGAATTGTTTTCTCTTTTGATGTGCGCAGATATTGTGATTCTCCCAAACAGAATGTAAGATCATGTTGTTGAGAATTTTCAAATTGAGTAATCAGATCTGTAATAGGGATGCAATAACAGAAAGGTGAGAACACAACATATTAGAGTTATGATAGAATGACGTTCAAACACAATAGAAAATAGAAAAAAAGAAGAAGGACCCTAAACTAATTTACAAAATGAGCACAGTGGGATTAATAAAACGGAGCCCCTGAGCTCCGTCTGAAGGGAAGTGTTAGAGTCTACCTTAAGAAGTTGGTAATACTGCCTTGGAACTAAAGTAATGCCAGTCAGTGTCCTGATTCCTGCGTTGTGGCTTGTCTTGTTAAGGCTCCAATACAGCCAAGAAAGAAATTAAAGTCTTGTTCCACCGCGACAGGCGATCAATAGCCTTGAAGTTTCACAAGTTTCATTTAGATGGCTATTTCCTTCACAGAGGCATTTATTTGGTGGATGGGACAGAGTATCCTGTCAAACCAAGAATAAACAACTTTATACAGATCAATGGTCTGGGAAAAAATAACTGAAGTTGTCCAATCAATGCTGTTAAGATGGATTCATGAATGGATCATTCATGGTCTTTTTTGAATATGTCTTGATGTTTTTTTGTTTTGTGTGGGTGCTGACATGCAAAATTTAGATTTCATGCATTGTTTTAGATTTCACTGGACAAAACAGCCCTAATGGTTCATAATTTTCTCATAGGTCTACCAGTCTGGAAGAGTAATTCAATCCATTATGAGTATCCAAATTCGTAATTCTATTCTCTACATAGTCGAACCACATGTACTGTATGTTCTCTAAATTATACCCAGACACAGTTGCAGATTTGCATACGACTATAATACTATGGAACTTTCATAGTTATCCCGTATAAGAAATAAGTCTATAGTCTTATTATGAGTCTATAGACATATTCTAACGTCATTGTGTCATAAATCCCAGGTCCTGCTCCTTTTCCACATAGGTGTACCTGTTGGAGTTGACTCACCCCTGATAAAGGCATACACACTGACAGCGGTGGTCCCGTCAATGATGGCTTTGGTGCTGGTGTAGTAGCAGCAGTAGTAACCGGTGTCTTTGGCCATGGCACCTCTCAGCACTAGTCTCTTGCAGTAGGGACGTCCGGGTTGACCCTCGCATTCGCTGACCACTACCCTCCTCAACCTCTGCGGGGCGCTGGAGGGAAGCTGAGACATCTGTCGCATGTTTAACTCTTGGGCCAGCAGTGTCTGATCGGGCCATGTCCACGCAAGGGTATGCTGTCCTCTACATTAGTAGGGAAGACATATTGTGCTTTAGATATAACTTACTTACTCAATCAATCCATCTTTATATATAGAGCACTTTTCCCTACACAGGATAACACAAAGTGCTTCACAGTCCACATCATACAAGGCACAAATCATAACATAAAACAAACACCATAATCACCATCAAAAACACAATTAAAATCAAACCAGTAATTAAAAACTTCTGCTATGGGCTTGTCCTCCCATGATGGGCTCTCCTCCAGCACCTCCTCATCTCACTGTCTGAGACATTCACTGAGGACATCATCCGTTTGGGCCTTCTCCATGATGTAGTTATGGAGTTTGGATGTTTCGTCCTGGACAGTGGCTCTCACACTCACTAGTCCTTGGCCTCCTTCTTTACGGCCTACGTACAGTCTCAGGGCGCTGGATTTGGGATGGAACCCGCCATGCATGGTGAGAGGCTATATATAAATATATATAAATATATACATATCTCTATATTATATATATATATATATATAATATAGAGACTTGTGTGGTCTCACACAAGTGAGACCACACATGGTCTCATCACCTGCTTAGTTAGCTTTTGTCTCATCACATTAAGGCAAAGCACGAGCCAATTGCAACTTGGTTGCCCTAAGACCAATGGGTTTTAACAATACTGTAGTAAAGAGTATTGCGTCAAATGAGTCTTGAGTCTACTCAATATCGCTAGGAACAAAAAATATACTATACCTACTCTTAAATTTGGTGAATGTTGGGAGCACAGACTGTCATTTATCACTTTTCTAGACACTCAAGGATGTTTCACATTTGTCCATTCCCTCCATTTACAGGGGTGGTAAAATACTGCCTTAGCCACAGCTGCCCTGGGGCAGGTTGATATAGGTTAAATTAAGCAATATAGCGAGAAATGTACCTACCAATATGAGAAATGTACCTATTGGTTGTGCGTTAACAAATTTCATATTGGTTGAATTGGATACCAATTATATGATGAGATTTAACACTTTGAAGCAATATGATCATGTGTTGATTGGTTGTTTTAACCAAAAGATTGCTCAAACACATTTACAACACAATTGTGTGTATTATGAGCTTACATTAAAACATCATTTTGGTCAAAATTATTTTATGTGCCCCTTGGAATTTAAACCCCACGCTGTTGGAACTGTCGGGATTTTTATGGGTTTATAGCCAATGACAAAAATCCCTGAAGATAACGCTGTGCTCTGTGGGGAACACACACTGTCCATTACCCATCATACAACTCAGTTAGAGGTTGCCATGTGAACCTCACAGCCATTTCAGCAAAATCATTATGTCTGAAAACTAAGAGCTCCACCACCTGTCCATGTTTAAATGTCCACCTTATAGACACGCCAAAAAATTATGACGGAAAATGACATGTGACTTGTTAATTTACAGCTAAAAGGCTGGGACCATACAGAGTAAAAAATAAACCAAACCTTTCCAACAATCATAGACTTTTGTGCCACAAAGCAGATCAGTGGGTGACCACTAGGCAGGCGACCAAGAAGATTTAAATCTTTATTTCAAAATAATTCACAAAATAGGCTTGTATTGATCCACTGCATGCCTACACAATTTACTACCCCGGAGTCCAATTAATACAAGATATGCCTGTTAGATTTTTAGATGCTAAAAAAAGAAAAGCAAAAAAATCAGTATACTATGATTACTTATTTATCCCCAAAGCCCTAATTTACACAACCTGTTTCTATAGATTGTGATAAGGAGTCTGTAAAATGGTAAATAATTATCACGTATATCTCCAGTGAGCCAGTGTATCACACAACCATCTGCTCTGAAACGGCTTTACAAACCTGCATGTTATCCTGAGTGTTTCATAAACTGGGATCACAAGGTCCTCTTTGGGGATGTCGAGGGAGGGCGGGGTCACGGAAAATCCAATTACCAAACCTGAAAACACACAGTAAATCATTATTGTATAAATACTGATTTATTGTTGACAGTCGGTCAACATAAATTTGCTTCTTAAATGTAGAAAAACGTTTGGCCCTTTGGCAGAGGTGCAGCCATCTGCCAGTATATGAGCTGGCTTCAATATGTCTAGTGTCAGACCTGATTACAACCCCACTCCTACCTCTGGATGTTATTAGCGCTTATAGACTCCTATGATTTATAGTGTCAGCCCCACCTGCCGCCACTGTGGATTAGAATACACTGTCAGGAGTAAAAGGTCTGAATAAGAAAAAGACCAAGATGTAACAGAAACATGGGGTTCAACTCTTATAAAGGCAAATCCTGGCAAAAGCAGGGCAGGGCCTGGTAACTGTGATGGGAGACCACTGAGAAGTGCTGTAGTTGTCATGGAACTGCAAAATTATGGATTTAATATAAGTAAAACAAAGAAACCACAAAAGGAACCAAACAAGGACTGACTACAATAATTAAAACAGACGTGGAATGATAATGATGGAACAGGAAGTGAAGGAATACACAGGGATTTAATACACATTACTGAAGGGACACACACAGGTGATACATACACACAATGGTGTAGGTTTGGTTCCAATCTTGGTGGGGACATTCACTACGACCTGAGTCTACACCCATTGACACGGGGTCCAGAGTTTCTCCCCCAGAATTTGTTGTGTAATCACACACTATATTTGCAATAGTGTGTTGCCTTCTATACTAAACTCAGCTGTAGACTGAATGAGAAGCAGTAATAAAAACAGAGGAGAAAATATTGAATTAGAATCTACAGTGAGTAGCTCACTACATTGTTTGACATATACGATCAATCTCTAAAAACAATTCATAGTCCCATGCATACCTACAAAATTCCAACCTCGCCTGATGCACTGAAGGGCCTGTTGCTTCTACCTCAACATTCCCTATATTGTTCTCTCTTGGTGGTTGAGTTTCCTATGTATGTTAACAGAAGATTATCCATCCATCCATCCATTTTCTACCCTTTAATCCATTTCTGGGTCAGGGGGGTGGCAGTCAGAGATGCCACCCAAGTCTCATAGCACCAGCCCCTCACTGACCCTCTGCAGGTGGTGAGTCCACAGGAGGACGGCTGCTCTCTGAGTGAGAGCAAAGCCTTGATCTGTCAGCGGGGGCTTTTGGGCAAAGTGGGGTTAAGTGTCTTGCCCAAGGACACAACGACAGCAGTCATCAGTGGGAGTCGGTGGAGAAGGTGCAGAGGTGGGAATTGAACCCACAACCTTCTGGCCTTAAGGCCAATGCTCTACCAACTGAGCTACTGTCGCCCTGAACAGAAGATTAATCATCACAATTCATAATTTGCTATTACTTGTGCTTTCTCTTACTTACTTTCCAACTGTTAAAAAAGCTCCTGATATGTTTTATCTTTTTTTGTGGAGGTGGCATTTTTTCTAAATTATATAAGAAGGTATAGACAATCAAAAACAGACATTCATATACATGAACTGCAGAATCATTTATATAACTTGGCCAATGTCAAAAGTTACATAGTATTTCTCAATACAATGAGTTAACAAGAGTTTGGCAATAAGTAACAGTGTGGATTTTTTCTATATTTTCTTTTTTTTATTCCACTCTCAACCCAAAAAGGCAAGTAATGACTCACAGGGCTCTCAAGTATGCAAAATAAAAACTTAAATGACCTGTTGTGGTGTGTTTTGCGCACAACCAGCATGCATCGTTAACGCAATGGAAAATTTAGGTATCCGAGCTTTAATTTCGGGAGCGCTGGTTGCGCTTTGGGAAGAGTCAGGGGAGAGACATGTCAGAGACACAGGGGAGAAACGGGGAAGATACGAGGGAGACCCGCACTTGCAACATGGTTCTGTCTGCATATGGTCCGAGCTCGGTACCATGTTAGAGCTGTGCTTTCACTGAGCGCCGCGGCTGTCATTACAAAGCGGCAGCAGCTGCACCAGGACGTGCACATTCGAGTGCATCGCTTGAATGTGCTTTGAGTGAATAACAGCAAGTGCCCGCTGTCACACATTTCACAGAAATTACATTATCAGCAGATAAAGGTTGTAAATCGTGGATCCGTGGAATATTTTCGTCCCTAGTTTATCCTTATTCACACAACACACCCACTTATACATTTTGGATAGTAAGAGCACAATAAGTATTTTTTCAGCCTTTCAACCAACCTGTTTCTTTATTGGAGCCAGTTCTGTTCTGTCTCTGTGCCGTGTGAGCTCCTCGGAACATTAAACAGTGCGCTGACAGATTAGAAATAACGTAAGTACTTTGAATGGTAATAGATCTACAGAACTTTCCTCTGATTACTCACGTGCTACAACGCTCAGGGAACGAAAAAAACACTTGCTTCACGCTGGCTAACTTTTAAAAATTAAACAGTTGCTCAGTGCTTCAGTTTGGCGCTGAAGAAGACAGCCAATCACTGCAGAGAACGGAACGGGTCACGTGCTGCTGCTGCTGCTGTTGCTCTGGAGGCGAGGAGGAGGCGCGACGTATGCACAAACGGAAGACATGTGTCCCGGACCGTCCGGGTCACGGGACATCATGTCATTTTGGTGGGGACTTTTTAGTCCTCACCAAATATTGGTGGGGACATGTCCCCATGGTCCCCACGCAAACCTACGCCCTTGCATACACATGACGGCACAGCAGGTATTCACAAAACAGCAAGTAAAACTATGGAAGACAGAGGGGTAACAAGCTACAAAATAAGACTGGAAATAAACCTAAACCATGGCAACAGTGGGATGGCGGCTGTTAAGTGCCTCACTGTCATTGTGTCCTTAGGCAAGACACTTCACCCACATTGCCTTGTATGAGTCTGGTGTGTGTGTCAATGATTGATGGTGGTTGGAGAGTCCGATGGGACAGATTAGTTTCCTTGCATCCGTCAGTCTGCCCCGAGGCAGCTATGCCTAAAGCAGTCATTTATCACCATTACAAATGGAGTGAATGAGTGCCATGCAAGTGTCATTGAATGAAAAGCATTATTATTACCATTATAGATCAGATTGGTTGTTTTAACTAAAAGATAAGTGAGGAGCACAGAAAGTAGTCTCTTGCTGGTGCCCGGAGCCAGACCTAATAATGGGGAGGCAGTGTTTCAGATTTATGCAGCTAAAATCAGAAACAATCTTCCTGAAAATGTGAGACAGGCATCTACTCAGTGGGATCAATAAAGTATCTATCTATCTACTGCAGTTTTCAAATCCAGGTTAGAAACAGTTCTGTTTAGCATACAACTGAAGGACTTTATCTCTACAATTGAAGGATTTTATCTTTACTCTGTTTAATGCACTGTGGTTGTTTATGATTGTAATCCTGTGATTTTAATATTTTATGGTTTTCAATTACTATTTTTTTGTGATTTTCATGTTTGTAAAAATCATATTTGTTAATGTTTATGTAGATTTGAATGTTTATGATTCATGCCTGATGTGATAGGGGGTTGTGAGGCGCTTTGTGTTGCCTTGTGTAGGAAAGGTGCTCTACAGATAAAAGTCGATTGATATTAGAAAAGAAATGTTAAAAGCGTGAAATGAACTCACGCTTTTAACACCGCGTGAGTTGTGTGGTCCCTATGTCTTTTTTTATTTTATTTTTTTTATTCACTTTTACCTATTTATTGTTATTAATTCTGCTTTATTTTATCTTTTTAGTGTTTTTATTGATTTTATAAATTGATTATTTATTTCCTATTTTAATTATTTATACCATTTGTGATGACAATTTTTTATTCTATTGTATTGACTGGTTGAGCTACATGTTTTTTTTTGTGTACTTTTCTTTTTCTTTTTTTTTCTTTTTTGTGCAGCACTTTGGAACTGTTCTGTTGTTTAAATGTGCTATAGAAATAAAGTGGATTGGATTGAAATTATCTCTAAAATAGAACTTCTTTAATTTAGAACGATGTCATTAGGACCCAATCCTACCCAAAACAACCTAATGTGTTTTTCAAGGTACACTGCATCCACATACCATTAAGCTCTTATAGACAACATTAAATATCCACTGGCTCTCACACTCTCCAGAGCGGTATAATTGTGTTTTTGTCAGCCAATTGTCATGGTCTTGATTTTGGACAGCTGTGATTGCTGTCCATGCAAAGTCTGCTGTTAAATTTTCAGTAATATTTAGAGAGAAAGCCCTATTCCCACAAAGCCACAAAGTAATTTATCCTTGAGCGTTCTCACAAACAAACAATAAAAGGACACGTTGACATTTTGTTACAACAAAATACAAAGAAGCACAAATTTCAGTTTTGAAGAACAATTTTTAATGCAAATACAACTTTCAAACACAAGGTTGGAGTATATAGGGAAGGGAGGATAAGTGATAACAGTGTGTGGAGTAAACAAATATGTAGCAAAAATGAACTATATTAGTATATTAGTATTCTAATTCAAAATCGTTTCAATAAAAACATCAAATACATTATGGTATTTAATGCAAATCAAATTACAAATGGTGCTGTAATTATCCTCTTTACAGCAACCGGCGCGCCGGCGGCCGTTTTTATGTTTTTAAATGTTCTGCTGGCAATAGCAGATGTATTTTGAACACCAAACCCCAAAAGCTGTATATCATTTTAAAGCTTATTTTCTTATCTACATTTATGTACAAGTGTAAACTACATCAGACTTTGCATTCAAAAGATATAACACATAATGTGGGCACAAAATAAATCAATTCCAAAATAGTTTTTTACCTTTGGGCTTGTGCTGTACAAATAAATCAGCTCTCCTCCCAGCTTGCAATACATCATTCTCTCTGGAACAGTCCAAAGGAAAATTATATCCACTTGTATTTCCCAAAGTAAAATCCATTCTGCAGAAATAATCCAAAAATGTGCATTTATCTTTAGCGAAAAAAACGAAAAAAAAGAGCACAGATGTTACGCTTTCACTTTTAACGGACTTTTAGCTTTGTTTTTCACCCAAACATCTGGTATCTACGTGTTCCTTAGCTCCTTATCTTTCAAATGAGACTACTCCCGAAAAGCTAGACCAATTTTTGGGTCTGCAAGAGCTCCCGCGAGTACAGCTAGTGCTGCTGTTTGCGCATTGATCACTGATCTTTGTTGTGATCCCAACTTGTTTGCTTTTACTTCCGGGATTTACGATTGACATGTCCTTGTAGCCAATGAGGAAAGCTTTCGAACAAGGGGTGGGACAATGGTGTCCTGTCTTATGTTGGGCCTGGACAATTGTGCGTAATGGAAGCCAAAAGACGCTCTCGAAGCTGCAATGAATTTACACTCATAAAAAAATAACTTTGACATTTAAAAAAGAAAAACACACATAGATTAGTAACTTATAAGTACCAATAATGAAAAATATTGTTTTTATGATGATTAAATTTAAGTAAAGATATTTTGTGCACTACTTGATGAAAAGGAGAAACTGCATAAAAACTATAAAACTTAGAAGTCTGAAACTTTAGACAGTTGTTGTCAACAACACAATGAACAGAGGGTTTGAATATTGTGAACTTACAATGAAGTATGCCTTTTTTAGGGCCTTTAGAAATTGAAAATGTTAGGCGAGGCTAAAAAAATTGGGTTTTTTTCCCTAACTTCAAAGGATGCAGAGGAAAATAGGAATGACAAACATTATTTTAGTGTTTTTTTACATAAACTAGAAGGCTCTAGCTTTAAAATGATGCATCACACAAGCATGTGAGATGTAAGATGTGTTTTTAAATAAGCAAAGACATTTGGGTATGCCAAACTTTTGTGCACAAGCCAAAATGAGGCGGGTGTTATACAGTAAAAGAGGGTGTCTTTTTTGCATACAAATATTTCAATTATTGATAATAATAATTTTAGTTAAATCAAGCAATTTTACAATATCTTGCAAAACAATGTGATTCTATTCTTCTATGTATTCATTGTCCAATTCTGAATTCTAAGTAACTGGTTGGACCATTGTAAGTCACAGAATGCGGCACGGTAGCGCAGTGGCGCTTGTGGAAAAAACTGCCTGGGTTCTATCTTCAGATCTCTCTGTGTGGAGTTTGCATGTTCTCCTTGTGTGTGTGTGGGTTGTAATCACTTATGCAAATCTCAAACAATCCCATCCCTGCAGTTGAATGAACTGAAAAACTTTGAATATGAAAAACAAGACGGCCTCTAATGGTCACCTATCATTGGTCTTTATCCATCTCACAGGGGAACGGATAGTTAAATAGATGCTGTGTATTTTCTGTCACTGCGTCACATGGGGCTGCTCTTATCACACTGACACAAAACAAACATGTTTAAAGCTCCTTGAGTCACTTGTAGCTTGACTCCCAGCATGACATTCCTTCCCTCCATAACATTGTCCTGCAGAAGAGGCACAGTTTTCTCAACATATTGTGTGAATCCAGATGTGAACCAGTCTACCGCCCCGGTCCCAGTCGCACTGTCAACCTCTCTCACGGCAGCCGCATCAGTAAATATGTGGGTAGTGCCAATAACAAGACCACACAAGATTAGCAAGAGCGAGAAACGTAGTGCACACAAAAACATAACAGATCATGGCACAGCTGAATCAATTACATTTATACATAGATGGTTAAAAGGTAAGAATACATTTTGCAATATGAATACGCTTTATACAGTACACCCTCTGTGACACTTATTTTTAAAGTCTGCGATGCACGTGAAAAACTGTTATATTATTTTCTACGGGCGAATTTCAAGCTGACTTTCAAATAGGGGTGGGGCAATACATCTATATTTACAATGCGTCGAGACATTCTTTAAGCTCGATATGATTTTTACATCGATTGTATCCCATCCAACCAATCAGCGAGCGCGGGAGGAGAGTGTTGTAGGTAGGTGTTGGTGACGCCAAGAGTTTGAACCGAATTTGCTGGTTGTAGTTTGGCAATGGCGAAGAATGCGATAGAAAAGTAATCCGTTCTGGTTCGGCTCCCAAATATCAAGAAATTGAAGCTGGATCAAGACAAATGTTCAGCAAATGTAATTGCTGGCAAAGATAGTGTGGCTTCACTCCCCACAGTTAGTGGCAAAGGAGATGGCTAAAGCTAGGCTAAATGCTAGCGACTCACTCGGGCGATCCAATAGTTTTAATCTGCAGAAGGAGTTAACCCCTCCCACCTGTTAACGAAAATCAATGGAACAAATCCAGACCTTAGAGCCTCCCTGAGGTTTCCCATTTTCTCCCACGGTTTTTAGAGTTTTTCATTGCAGATTCAGGAGGGCAGTGGTGATTGATTCTCTGATCTGTTTAGGCAAGTAGACGGCTGTTATGATTTAAGGCTATAAAAAAATGTAATTAATTTAATTGAAACATTGCAAATCAATCTTTGCAATGTGCTTTCAAATATCAAAAATGTCAGTGCACATGTGTTTGTACTTACACAAATCTCAAATGTTTTTTTTAGCAGACTCAAAAGTAAAAAAGCTCTCTATATGTTAACACTATCCAGTGTCAAATGTTTACTTGCAGTAGTTTGGTCCCTCAGTAAATGACAATCGCATTTTCCCAAATAGCAGTTTATTTTTACTACTGCAAATATGAAAAAGCTATTTTACAGGCCATATATTTCTTCTCTTCAAACGCTTTTGCATGAAACTGAGGCTTTCCATGCTGCATCCAAAACCTTCCTTACCCTTTCCTGATCTATAAAATTTACCTTTTATGAGACAATGATTATCCAAGTTTGGTCAAGTAAATAATATTCAATATTGTTCATGCTACATTAATGTATTCAAAATGAAAATAAAGCATGAGGAAGTGTATTGTCAAATCCAGATGCAATGTCAAGTGTGTGGACTACAGACTGTGAGAAAGAAAACTGTTTCAAATTTTCTCCCGAAACAAAAAATTCCTGTAGTTTGTATCCAGCTTTAGACAAATACCAGAGATCTGCATTCAATCAAAAAAGCCTTTATCAGCCCTTCAAACATTATTTCATTGTGTGGATAGCAGAACCATCAATTGGCTTGGCCGCGTGGAGCCCTATTTTGCCTGATTATTTTGAAGCACAAGCCACGCATTTCAAAGCTGACCTGTTTGCAAATACGGACCATAACGTGTCAAGCAGACGAAACTTGAGAATAATTATGCTTTCCCTGTCTGAAGGATGTCCGCTCCGTATGATGAGCTCCGAGGTTAAAGCTTTGATGGACGCCTCTTGCACAATCACTTCAGCAATCGTGCATTGACAGACAGCATGCAAATTGTAAATCCATGTGAAATGTCAGGACTGATGGAGATGAGGAAGCAGAGTTGTGGTTACCAGCTGTAGGAATAAAAAAAAGTGATGCGATGATACAGCCCTACGGTATGAGGTTGATTGATTTGTCTGTCAAGGCGTAGGTGATGTGTGGTGCACTGGAGAGCATAGCAACGCCCCAAAGATTATTCAACGTGATTTGCTGTTTTGAGACAGGTTTGTGTGCGTGGTTATCTCAGAATAGGCTGGAATCACGGCTCAGCGAAACAGCATTGCTTGTGTCTTTTTCACGCCCTCTCAAAATTGTCTTCCAAAAATCAGAATTTGAGTGAAATTTTAAATATTGACAATTTTACAGAACCAGAAGAAAACACAGTGAGGGGTAGCATTTCAAACAGCGAAAACACAATAAGCACAGGGACAGGTAGAAATTAAAGGCCTCTCACAGTTCACTTGCTGCTTTCGTCCAATTCCCAATTCATGTATCCGAACATCCTCTTACAATCTGTCCGTCAGATTGATCCTTGCACAATTTTAAAGTCAAGGGTTAGGGTTGTATTCATCTAATGGTTCTTTTATTGTTGTTGCTCACATCTTAAAAGAATATTCTAAAGGCTAACTAATTGATTATCAAAGTAATCATTAATTACAGCCCTTGTATATACACTCCTTAGCCCTGTGATCAGGTCTCTGCACTGGATTTGTGTGGAAGTACATAATGTGACATGTGACAAGCGCGGGTATTTAACCACTTTCATAAGATTTCCATTGTTCCTTCTGGAAATGTTGTTATAAGTTCTGCATCTGTGGTTGTTTGTTCTTATGTTCTCATTGATTCTTGACACTATGCTATTTGACCCAAAGCATTATTAAACATGCGTTTCAAAGTGTATTTTTCTGTTATCCTTGGATTTATCAAAACTGGACCAAGGAGTTTTTTATTTCTTTATTCAACAATTACTAAATGTGTTTTGGTTCAATATTAAACATACCGTATATGAAAATGGATGTTTTATTGACAATTAGCTACACTCCTGTTACACAATTCAGAACTAATCATTTAAAATAGTTTTGGGGGCCAAACATTTTCCTTGCATGTTTGACACCCTAAGTGTCAGGTCTAGTGTGCTTTTCTCACAGCAAGGACTTCACGGGTTCGATCCCCAGGTCAGTGTGGTGTTTGCAAGTTTATCTGATCTGACCATCTAAATACGGTTAAGTTTAACCTCAACAAACCACAAACAAATTTCACTTGACATCTCATTCTCCTTTTGAGCTGCACTGAGATCTTTGTCTGAATCAAGCAACATTGCATCATTAGTCACAATAAGGTGATGGGTATCCAAGTACTGTCTAAGATTGAAATGTTTCAATGTTTGTTTTTTTAACCATTGTTGGTATGAAGTGGAAATTTCTAGTTATACAATTGCCTTGTCTAAAACATTACCACAGCTATGGCATTATCAAAGATTTGTAGTTGAAACACTGACTGATGAATGTAGGAAAGCAAAAACTCTCTTACAAAGACAAATATAGTTTCGGTGTTAATTGGCCAATTGAACCCCGAACTAGAGGCAAAGAGTAATTTCACTGATCTAAATCCAAACGTTAACGAGGATCCATTCCAAAATGAATCATCCCTACATGTAATAATTAAGCCACTTTTCTGCACACTTGTCTAATATTTTTCTTGAGCTTAGGTCCAGAACACGAGCCAAACCCACAGCAACGGATGGATGGGGGAGCTCTTACACTGCACCATACCGCACTGGGGCTTGGTTAAAAAATGCGTGTCAATTCATGGCCCCTATGGATCTCGTACAGTATATACTGTATCACGTCAAGTCACCCAGTCTCCAAATCGTGGGACAGCTGACTGCAGGGCTTGTGTGCTGCGTAAATAGGCTGCGAATATGTATCATGAGTAATACATGTATGCCGTGTCAAATATAATGGTCTGTGTACCGCCATATACTGAAAGGCAAAGAAAAGCAAACAATTGAATTCACTGTGGTCTGAGACTGATAGCATATCTGGTCCCATAATAAACACATTTGCTTGAGGTGACCTTTTGGGCTCCTTGCACCATGACAGATGTGTGTGTGGTCATGCTTGCCTCTGTGAGAACATTAATCTTAATATGTATTGAACAACGGCTTGAACCAAATCTCGTATAGTCTCTGGACAGCACTTACTAAAGGACGGTCAGCGCTTCTGTAGTGTAGATGGGCACAGGCTTTATAAAGCACACAGTGGTGACCTTTTTCACATAAAGAGTAGACAATTGATAAACTATAGAGCTAAGTTGAATGAGTCATTGGTTGTATGCGTGAAGTACTTATCAAAGGCATCAATTCTCTGTTCTTTGCAGAGGTCCATAATGTGTGCGTGTAGTTATTACAAAAATATATTCAGTGCAAAGACAATTTCAAAACAGAAAGTTGCAGAAAAGCCTTCCAGGAACCAACGATTGTTGATTGCCCAGTAACAGTAATTCTTCCACTGGCCTTAGAAACTGAGAGACTCTCACAAACGCCTGACGAAAACAGACTGCATACTTGAAGCTTAAATTGAAGGAAATAGAAAGTGAAATGCATTTTTTGTCATACTGTCCCTTAGAAACCCTTTTTTGATATGTCATGTTTAACCCTGATCCTGTTTTGCAGAGATGAAATTTGTCTACAAAGACTCATTAATTATTTCAATGAGAGCATTAGTGTTTAAAATGTATGTTTTTCTGTGGAGTGGACATAACACTCTCGCTTCTCAATAAGAAGGTACTGGGTTCGAATTCCGGTCGGAACAGGGGCTTTCTGAGTGGAGTTTGCATTTTCTCCTCGTGTCTGCGTAGGTTTACTCCAGGTGCTCCGGTTTCCCCTACAACTAAAAACATGTACAAAAGGCCTGCCTGGCATGCGCCTCCTGTATGGCAACCCCACTCCCATCTCTGTGTGGAGTGAC